CATCCTCCGCCACCCGGGAGCCGGAAATGTAACGAGCCAATGACCTGTGGACCCTCCTTGGCGTAAATGAGGACCAGAAAAACGGCCCATTCCTTAGAAAGTCCCTAGCCGCCACTTGACCAGCAGGAAACGGAGTGAGGGGATTGATGTGCGGTTTAGGGTTCGACCAGCTCCTAAGCAATGGGACACCACCTTCATCAATCAAATCAGCGCTTATACGAAAGAAGAAGAATTTCCTCCATGACCCGCAGTTTGAAATAGGATCCCTAATCACCGACATGTACTTTCGAGGGTGTCAACCGGTAGGTACACGGCTCCGAGACATATTGTAACCTAAGAAGGGCCTCAAAGTGATCAAAGATGAGATAAAAACCGAGTTCATAGCTAAACACTAAGAGGCCAATAAGGTGCTGAAGACCGGTCGGGTTTAACTGGCCCAACACTACCTCGAAATGATCCAACACCCGGATTAGTATCTCTGGAACCGGGAACCATAGACGGCAGCGTACCAAGAATGCCTCATAACACGCAAAGTATCCCTCTGGGGGGTTATCAGCGCTCTCTCCTTGGCGAGGAATTCGATGTTCCACGCCGTCAGAAACTCCACAAAATTTGCGGATCGTCTTGAGAAATGAATGGGAACTTCTAATTGGAGCACCCGCTTCTGCGCCACGATGGCTCAGAGCGGGGAAGGGAGCTTCAGGAGGTGGAACTAGCATGCCACACCTGGCAGTCCAGTACGCTTCAGCCTAATCTTGATCGACTAGACGAGACATGAACTCGGCCTTCGGAACAAGGATCTCCTCCTCGCAAGTACCTGCAGATGAGGAACCACGAGAAGTAGCCTTGCTCGAGGACCTCTTCCTGGAAGAAATTTTGTAAACCTTTTTTTTTTGGAAAAAGAGGAAGAAATCTCTTTTTTACTTTTATCTCACAAGAAATTTTCTCTTAAGGAAATGATCAAGTAGTAACGATGAAGGTTTACTCAATATATTTATAGACATGAGAAGTTACTTTTTGTCTACGGATTCTTGGATACTTAACTTCGTCCAAACTCGCCAATCTTGCTTAACTTTTCCAAACCGCACGTTAGAATCTCTTCAGCAACCTATGATTCTAAAGAGCTGGGGGGCTAACTGTTCGGGTCAAAAACGGTCACAACAAAGTTAACATCCAAACATCGGACAAGAACACCAAAACTGGAGAAACATCCTAACTTATCCACCGACGAATCAAGTCGTTACATAGCAACCAAACTTGAACAAGGATCAAATCGCTACGTAACGACCGAAGTCGAGTCAAGCTTGGTCGCTACATAGCGACCGAGCTCGAGCCTGTAGCGACCGGACTATCCTGAAGATCAATGTAAACATGAGTCCTTACACGCTCATTTACTCTTTGATGCAATCTCCCGAAGGTAACACTTGAACTTCCACTCTTTCCTTATAGTTCTGAGTTATCGTTCAGACTTTACGATAGAAACCGCATAAAGTTTGTTTTTATCAAAAAGAAACCTTAAAAATGTCTCGAGTCAAAATACGGCCCAAAGAGGTCTCGAACGTGACTAGAACCCCACTTACGGTTTTAATTAAAAAATACCATAGATCCTATGGCGGTTTATCCTTGGCCGGCAAGAGACGATAAATGTGAAGTTTCCGTGGATAAATGTAAAAGTTCCGAAGAAAATCAGGAAGATCGGGAAAACAAAAAATCATTTTTGGGCTATGACGGCTTAAGGGTAGAAGTGGAAAGCGCAAACCGACTTTGGAGGGAGTATATAAGGAGTTCTAGGCAAAAAGAACACATGGACAGAGAAAAAACTTAGCACTTAGAGAATTTAGGCAACTTTCCGTTTTTGTTATTCGAGCTGCGTCTCAATTAGGGTGTCCACAGTCTTAAGTTGCTAGAACTAGGATCTCGCCGTCAGCTCTTGTAGCGAAGGCTCCTAACTAGTTGTAACGATGAAACGCGAATTCGGAATAAGACTTCTTTTTGATATCTTTCAATTCATATTTGTATTTGTATTCTTATTATCGTCTTTTTACTTATCGTTCTTGATTGCTTGGCGTATGGTATACAGATAACGAGGACCTCTGGGAAATTAGGGTTTATCCTACGTTCTTAATTCAACGGAAATCGACAGTGCAAATTCTGGTTCCCACAGAAGCCATGAGGTCGTACCCATGGGGTCGGACTGCATACGAAGTTCTTGTTGAATTTATTAAAATATTGGCTACAAAAGGATGGTCATACACATTAAGCGGCATGAAGGACGCGTTAATTATTTGGGCATATGAATTTGTCGCCTGCTTAGGTGAGAGTTTTGGGATAGTGGTCAATATATCTCAGTCTTATCGTTTTTATAACCCAGCCATGTCGTAGTTGTGTAACTCAGCCATACCCCAAATATCCCCTAAATCCAAAATGTTCATATAACTCAGCCGAAAGGTATACGTAACTCAGACATATCTATTATAATAACTCAGCCGTACATCCACCATACCCTAAAATCGTAAAATGTTTATATAACTCAGCCGTATCAGTTAGTCTAAGCTAGCCATTATGCTATTATAACTCAGCCATACATCAAACATACCTTAGAATAAAAAAAAATGAAATGTTTATACTTTAAGATGTTATATTGAAACTCCAATTATTAATTTGAAGTGGATATATAATACACTGAATGTGTCTTATTTATTGAATTTACGAGTTTAGAATTGATCATGATCTTGAGGTATATGTTGTTTTACAATTTTTTAAAACCTTACGTTTAGATATAAGGTGTGAACATAATTCAAAACTCGTAAACTATTATTGTGTTTTTTATTATGAATTTTTGTTATTTATTATATTTCTTGCACCATAAATCCAAATCATAAACCTAAATCCCCAAAAAAACAAACCTAGACCCTAAATAAGCACTCTTGAACCCTAAACCCCAATTACTAAATCAGCCGTAAATGTTAAAGGAACTCAGCAATGAAGTGTAACTTAATCTTGATGTTAGGCGGGAAAAAGATAACTGAATCTTGGGAAATTTTAACTTGCGACATTTTACGTTCTATACCTCTCTATATATTTTCCTCTCTTTTACAACTTTTTCTTATACTTTCTCTCTCTAGAAACAACTTAAAAATATCTCTCAACTTAAAAATATTTTAAAAAACTAAAAATAATTATTTAAATGGTTTTTGAATTGATAATATATCTACTTATTTTTTTTTTTGTAAAATTATTATATCTGCAAGTGCGGGCAGAACATCTCGTTCAACATTAATTAAAAATATTTTACACAGTATGAGCCACTCTAGTATTAGTACGATCTTTTGGTGTTGTTTGGATCAGCTGATCTTAGAAATTCTTCTATAATATGTGTAAGGATTCAGTTTGGTACTATAAGTAGTAGGCCTTCGGTTTTTGTCCAAACCGATCAAAACGATTCGAGCCAAACCAAAATTTTCGGTTTTTGGTTTGGTTATTGTTATGATTTCGGTTTAGTTCGGAATGGTTTTCAAAATTGGTGTCGTGATCGTTTTGGTTCACTTTTTGATTTTTTCGAAAATATAAGAAAATCAAAAATAACCAAAAAACTAAACCGAATTTAACCAAAAAACCCAAAAGTAATTTAAGTTATCCGAAATAACCAAATTTAACAAAACATATCCAATTTATTTTGGAAAATTATACCGAAAACCAAAAACCGGAAATAAAAGTAAAAATAAAAAATAACTGATTTCCGAACTAAACCAAAATTTTATTCGATTAATTTCACAATCAATTTTCAAAATCTCGGTTAACAAAAAATCGACGGTTCAGCATAAAATATGAAACCTGGGATTTACTATAAGTAGGGCAGGCATAAAATATGAAACTGAGATTTGGAATACGAACCAAAAATATGATCCCTTATCCAACTTAAAATATAAAAATATCCAAATAGATCTTGTAGAATGGTACAAAACATATCGAAATTCAAAATGATATTAACTAAACGCAAAAAGATAACCTGTAAATTCATAATTAATAGTCAATATAAATATTTGAAATATATATAAATAATTTAAATACTTAGTTTAATGTTTATTTTGATATGATATATAAAAATATAAATTTAAATAAATATTTTAAATATTTAGTTTCTTATAATTAAGTATTTCATTATTTTCATTGAAATAATAATTCTTTTTATCTATGAGGTAATGCATATTATTTACAAATGACGTTTGTTTTCATACTTGATTTAACACTTTATTATTATTTTATGTGGATATGATTAATTTCTATTAAATATAAGTATATCTCCCCCCCCCTTTTGTTTTTAAAAATTTTATGTTTTTTTGGATATATTCAAACATAGCTGATAAAATCCATATCTAAACAATATATGATTACTTTGGATTTTAGGATGTAATAGAAATTTGAACCGAACCCGAATCTCTATTTTCTAAATCCAACCCATATTAATTAGAGTATTTACATCGTACACCAAAGCTTGATCACTTAATTAGCTAGATGCCCAAAGTGACTTTTTAATAATAAAACTATAATTTTTGAACTCTTTTACACTTACTCATACCTACATCTAGACTATAACAAAATTCTCCACAATATATTACGAAGATATGATCGGCTTTTCATCTCCTAATCTATTTTTTCTACAAATATTTTTGTATCCAAGGATATCAGAAACAGTAAAGCCTGAAGATAGGTTCTTAAATATCCGTCATATGTTTCCTCTTTCAAATTTCGAAATCGCCATTTTTCTTTTTACCTGAGCTTTTTCCCCAAAAAGTACCGATAATGAAACCTCTAAAAATTAAGATAACGAGTTCAGGTGAAGAAGAAACCCTCCATTCCGTAAAATCAATTTTTTCGTGTTTCCTTATAGAATAAGAGATTTTGAAACTGAAAAAATACTGTATAAGATGCAGTATCTTTGGAGACATAGTCACTGGAGGAAGATTTTGATAAGCCGACTCAACTCCGTAAAATCATCTATGTGGCTTCCATCGCCGCCGGTTTACAGTTCAGTTGGGCCCTACAACTCTCTCTCCTCACAAATGGCCGTCTCTCATCTGGCTATGTGGTCCCATCTCCGGCATGATTGTTCAACCAATCGTCGTAACTTTTGTTTTCTGGAAATCAGTACTAAGCAGGGTTATATCTTTAATGCTATGAAAATAGATTCTCTTTTAGCTATGTCATTGTTATGAATACTTGTTGTGTTTTTTTTCATTTACTTCTGATGATCATTTCATTCTTTTTTTTCTAACAAGTTTTGTTGCTCATTTCTATAATCGAAATTGTTATGATATTTTGTTTTATTCTCTAAACAATAAGCTGAACCTGAGATCAGATAGTTTGCTGTCGATTATATCTTGAATGCTCTTGTATGATAGTGTCCTGAAAACATGTTTTGTATGTTTTATTAGTTAATTTTTTGTGTTAGTAGTAGATCTATTCTAGTTGGTTTTATATGTCCATTTTGATGAGGGAATGGATTTGTTCTATGTTCAAGAAGTATGATTTTCTTAATGTAAATAGTCTAACAAGACTGTGATTTTAGTCAAAGCCGCTAGGGTCGAGATTGATTCATACTGGCCAATGGTGTTCAAAAGGATGGCTGAGAAGCGTAATGTCACTGACTTCACCATGAATGTCGGTGATGGTGGCGGTGGATGTGGTGCGCCTGTTGCTGCCGCTACATCTCCTGCTGGTGGAGGAGCTGCGTTGCCGCTCCTGCTAAGGAGGAGAAGAAATATGAACCAACAGGAGATAGCGATGGAGATATTAGATTTGGCTTGATACTATCTTAACTTGGTAAGAGTATTTATCACAATAATCATACAATCAAAGATTTTTAACATATGTATTTGATTCAATAAAACAATTAGCCAGATATAGTCTTATGTGTATGTTTAAATTATGTTAAGATTCATTATTAAAATGTTAACCTATTTAATAAAATTTAAAAAATGTGTTCTTATAATTATGTGTATGTCTGAATTAACTTTTAGTGTTATTATTAGTCCGTTAATTGATTTGTTAACATGTAACTACGTATTCATATTTTCATTTCTATTTTGAAATAATCATTGAGATGTATTGTGGGACGTCTAAACTTTTCTTATTTATAGCTAATATTAATTTTAGCTGACCTTTGAAGTGTTTATCGTGATATCAACACTCTTTAGAATATTTTAATATTATATTAAAAAGAAAACCTAAAATTTTAGCTGGGTACATATGTAATTAGACGCTTACATTTATTATTAGCCACTGCCATCGTTTAGACAATCTTTTCATATGATAGCATCTGTAGCAATTACATACTCAAACCGGTTAATACTATCATGTATGATACATATATAATATGTTTGTTACACTTAGAATCACTAATTACTTCAAACGCCAACATTCATTGGAGCCTCACAGTCTCCTCCCTATCTATCTAGGGCTAGACGCAGAAAAGAACCAGTACAACAGAAGAAATGCTCCACTGAGCTTGACAATTTCCTTCCGTCAAGGGGGTGTTGTTTGCTAACTCCACCATTTTCCCATCACCTGCATACCATTGTGTTTACTTCCAAAAATGACAGACAAATGATTGACGTAACAAATAATAATAAATACAACACATACACAAAACATATGCTATAAAAATTGTTTTTTTGTTGTAACCATAATTAACGTTTGCAATATACTATTTAACTGGCTAACAATAATTATATCTAAGCGATACATGTCATCTCACTATGGATTTTATTCGGCATATGCACATCTAGACCATATCCATTTCCTCCGTTAAAAGTGCGGAGTTTTGTAACCCATGAAACGAGTGTTAAAAGTAAGATCATGAACAACAAGACACTCAAAAGTTTAATACGATGGAAATCAAGAGAAGAAGAGTTAAGCGTATCAACCATGGCTGAGTTATTGAGGCTGAAACTTCCAAATGGGTCTCATTATACTGCTTTGTTGATCACAGGAGACACGAGAATGAACCACTTGAGTACAAACCAGTAGATGAGGAGATGCACTTGATTTACCAATCGACAAGTTGTCTAAGAGCCCATGCTCCAACTTCTTGAGAGTTTCCGGAAATCTTGAATGGAGAAGAGAATAAAGACGATCCGCATAATCGTTGCACGCTAAACCAAGGAGGAGCTCTCCTCCTAAAAACGACACCTTCAAGTCTTGAAGAAAACCAATCAACGCATAAAAATGCCTAGATAAAGGAAGCTTAAACCAAATTCAGATCCATGAATCTAGAAACAGAGCCCCTCAACGCTTAAATCAACTGAACCCAGAACCAGCATCAGGAAGAGATCATGCACCAGAAGATCTAAAGCCAACATGCAAGAACAATCGAGAAGGGATCTAACGATCTAGATATACATATGTTTGGAGCAAGAATGGAGATGTAAATCACTGATAGTGATAGACAGAAGAAACCAAAGATATAGCTAAAAAAAAAAGACAATCGACGATGTGGCTGAAGGAACCCACCACCGCTGGCTGAAAAACACAGATCAACGAGTTTGAAGAGAAAAGAGAAGAGGAAAGGTGAAAAGATAAGGTAAGACCTTACTGTTTACTCTACAGAAAACCCACAAAAAAAAAAGTTAAATCCTTAATAATATCTTCAAAATCTTTTTCTCAGCTATAAACCTACTTCTATAAACCATCCTCCAAAGATAAAGACACTAAGGTAAATTGTCTTGTTATCTATATCCTCCAAAGATAAAGACACTAAGGCAAATTGTCTTGTTATCTAGAAAAAGTCAAGCCCTCTATTTTTTTCTCTTTGGTACTTTGCTAATTTACATATTCTTTTAGATTTTTTGACTAATTCACTCTATTAATAAATACTAAAATGAGACATAGGAATGTAAACCTAAAATCTAAAATACCCTATTTTGTTCGGGTATGCCTGCTATAAGCTTAACAAGCTTAACAGTAAGGAACAACAGATATTAGGCCGTCAAAGTAATTGACCAGTGTCACTTGCAGTTATGAACACATGTCCGATCTGAGAATTATCTAATCATTAGGAAATGTGGCTGTGGAGAGTGTACTGTGTGCCTAGAAAACATCAGGCTGACCAATTGAGATTCTTTATATATATATATATATATATATATATATATATATATATATATATATATATATATATATATATATATATATATATATATATTATCGTCTGATATTAATTGGCCAAAGTCCAAGAATACAAATCCACAAATTTTCCCAAAATAACAAATGTCGAAAGCCCAAAATGAAAAAAATCATATTAAAAATAAAGATACTTGGGTTTTAAGCCCATTAACCTAAACCTGACAAGTAAGAAAACCCTGATATTTTATCATAAAAAAAACATGTGTTTAGTCCTCAACAATGAAGAGACACGCGTCATATAGATGACTCCACTTTTGATGCCCAGAGAAATTCACCGCCATTTATGTCGCCAGATACTCACCGGAAACAGGAGCTTCACCACATTCCATCAACACCAGTATTCCGTCCACCGAATAGTTTCCATCGAAACAGAGTCGAGATCTCATCTAAATCACCAAACCACCAGACATCGAAAGCATCAATCGCATACAATCGAGATATCATTCCATCATCAAACCTTCGAAACTAAGACAACGAGTTACACATATCAGGAAATACTGAGAAGCCAACTACACCATAAATGATAAAGATCGTAGTCAGAACCAAAGTATGGCCGCCGTCAGCGGAGAGGAAGGTGACGACGCCAATGACTAAGTCCAACCATATGAGACAGAGGGCGTCACTGAAGTTGGAAAGAAGAGATAACCAAAAAAACACAAAACAACAGAAAGGAGACCTCTGGTGACCGGTACGCTCTCCCACGCACCTCTGGCCAACGGGAAAATACATAACTACTTTCAGAGCTTTCTCTCTCTAGCTTTCTTTATAAAAAAAATCTATAATTTATTACTTTTACTCTAAAAATATATGTCAAAATATTTAAGTTGATACTATTTTGGGCAATTCACTCAAATAGACATTTTTAAATTTTTACTACAAAACAAACCTAAAAAACTAAAATGACCAAAATAACATTTTTATTTTGAAAATTTGAAGTTTTTTTTAATTTCTTTAAATTTGAAATCCTATCCCTTAAATCGCACTCCTCAACTCTAAATAAAAAATCTAGGATTAGTTAACCCAAAAGGTATAAGTGTATTTTTGATAAAACATTTAACTCTATTTTGATCATTTTTATTTTTAAAATCTATATTTGTGACAAAAACTTTTTTATATCTATGCTAGGGAATTTCTTTACTATTATTCTTCTTATTTTTTTTGTTGCCATGATAAATAAAAGAAACCAAGGTTTCTCTCTCATCCATGGTCTCTCTATCATAGCTTTCACAGGGAAAGAGATCGAGAAGGGTTTTGGTGTTTTGATCGCCAGTTTTTGTCCGGCTTAGACTCCCGTGTATTGGGCTGTTGCCTCTGGAAAGAGGTGGCTTCTACAGCACTTGCTTCGCCGTCTTTGTCTCCGGGTAATGACGGCTTTGCTAACGTTCATTTCGCCGGCTTTGTTTCATCATCGCTTCATGTCCCTCCTTGTTATGATGACTCTCGATGTTCAGAGTTCTCTTACATCATAAGAAGACGATGGGTCTTCTTCCCGAAGCGGTAATCCGATTGCATCAAGGATTTCTGTGAAGATTGCTTTGTTGATCTTTCACCAATCTATCTCTGCTAACGGTGGAGCTTTGGCGTGACTCTTTCCGGAGGAGGTGGTGTTGTTTTGTCTTGACGCGTGTTTCAGAATAGTGTGTCGATCGTACATGTGGTGGCGAGTGTCGCTTAACCTCCTCAACGGGTTTCCTCTATGGGTCTGACGGATTTTAGTTGTTTTGTGAAGTTTGCCTTTTTGGGCCGTTTGTTTGTACTGTGTTGGTCTATGTCCATTTGGACATTGATCCATTAATAAACTTTCATAGGAAAAAAAATATAAGAAACCATGTTCCAAACCGAACACTGTTTTAATCGCCCAATTTAATTGATAAATTACTTGCTAGTCATCCGGTTCAGACAACAAACTAGATGTCTACATGGAGCGGTTCCACATCAGCATGAAAAACCAGCTTTAACCACCAGTAAATTGTCAATTCTTAAATAGGCACCACGTGAAAACCTCGTCAATACGTGAAGTTCGAGAAGTTCTTAAAGTCGATTGAATTTGTCTCTTAATTGGGGGTTTTTAGCTTACGGTTCTTAGTTTTTTAAAAAAATTTAATCAAGAAAAACCTAAGAACGTCTCTTAAATAAGAGATATAAAATCCTATCTCGCCGAAAAGTGAAAAAACAGAAAAAAAAAAATATATATATATATATATATATATATATCAAATCATGAGTTAGGAATTCCGGATAAGAGACCAAGGTTAATCATATTCTCTGAGAGAGTACTATATTCTTATTTCCTTCAGTGTAATACTATCACTCACTATCCCACTCTTCTTATTTAAGCGAACTCGCCATGGCTGTTGGCGCTCAGATACCACTTGTAAGGTTATGATACCTATTGGGGTCAAAATCAGTTACGACCAAAACTTTCCGCAAAGTTAAGAATAAGTTTTAAAAATACGTAAAAGTGTCGATCGTACTCTAAACCGTGTTCGGAGCATCTCTCGTTTCGTCTCGATCCGTCTTATCGTTGGAGTTTTACGATAAAACCGCAAAAGGCTTGTTTTCTCGTAAAATCTCGAGTAAATCGTATAAAATGGAAACAGTTAAACGAAACACCGAAGATTGCC